CCTTGGGGGTGAGGTATTTTCTTTCTTTTTTTTTTCATATTTCTTGTACCCCTGTGGTGATTTTTAGTCTTCTGATAGGTTATTCTTTTCTTTCTAATTCCTTGAAGATCAATCTGAGTGGTTGGAGGCTCACAGGAGGATGTGGTCTGCAAACTCTTTGACATTGCATTTTTCGAAATACTAGATACCATTAAAGGTCCAAACATCTGGATAATCAGTATCCCAGAGGTGAAGAGGCTAATAAGGGCATTGACAATCTATTCTATGAAATCCTGCAAGAAAACTTCCCAAACCTAGAACGGCGTTCAAAGATCCAGACCCAAGAAATACAAAGGGCCACAAATAGGATCAACCCAAGAAGATCTTCTCCAAGATACATTATAGCCAGAATGACCAAAACCACAGACAAAGAGAAGATACTCAGACTGGCAAGAGAGAAACATCAAGTTACCTACAAAGGATATCCCATCAAGCTAACAGTGGACCTCTCATCAGAAACAATGAGAACAAGGAAAGAATGGGAAAATATATTCAAAGTGTTGAGTGAAAAACAATTTTAACCAAGAATACTATATCTGACAAAATTATCCTTCATATTGGAAGAGACAACAAGAACATTCTCAGGTTAACAAAACCTGAAAGAATTTACCAACACCAGACCAGATCTCCAAGAAGTTCCGAAGGGAGTGCTAGCCCAGGAAATATACAAGAAACAAGAAAAAAATATTTTCCCTCTATTTCTCACCTTTTGCCATTTTCCATCCTCCTCTCACCCTGTCTGTGGTATCTGTAGTTGCTTTCCATTCCTTTATTCTTTCCCACATTTATTGATTTACAAAATACCTTATTTAAATGCTTTCAATAGTAAGTTCAGCTGATATTGGTATCACCTTCTGGGATATCAGTTATCCAGATGTTTAGGCATTTAATGGTATCTAGTATTTCTTATGTATTCATTTTTGGATAATTTTCTCAGTCTTTCTGGTAAATTTTTCTAGATCAGAAGTTCTCTCTTCTACATCTGAGATTTGGTCTTCTGCATGATTTAATTTGCTTTTAATATTTTCAAGGGAAGCTTTGATTTCCTGTATTATAGCCTTCATCTCTAACAGTTTTGTTTGATTCTTTTTTATGGTGTGTATTTTCTCTTAGAAATCATACATGAATTTCCTCACCTCCTGGAACTCATTGTCTCTTTTTCTGCATCTTCTGGAGTTCATTGTCTCTCTCCTTTTACATCTATGTTAGCTTTGTCACTATGAATATTGAATATTCTGAATTCTTTATCTGACATTTCCATGAGTTCTGTTGTGCTGTCTGACTGATCTTGGGGTTTGGAGGGTGAAGTCTGAGAAGAAAATCTTCCATTGCCCTAATCCCTGAAAGGGGCTGCTCACAGCTTGAATGTAGATCACTTAAACTTTTGAATAAATCATGACAACAGTAGAAGCACCTGACCATTTTAACATAGAAGACTTCTAATTATATGGGAGTCAATTTCATTGCTTCAATCTTTTAAGATCCTAATAGTGTGGTAAATATATAATGTTATTTTATTTTATTTGAAAAATAATCCATTTCAGTTTTTTTTTTTTTGAGAGGTTTTCACTATAGGGCGTGTGCGCTTGCCAGACAGACAGAGAGAGACATAGAGACAGAAAGCGAGAAATCACCCCCAGGGGGGATGGTCACACCGCCATCCCTTCTCCTCCATTCTCCTCTCGGGATCTTGGGCACACGCGCACACACGCTCGGCGTGAGTTTTAAGCCACTGGGTCCAGGACGCGAACCACTGTCGACTACATGGGAGTCCAGCCATTACCTAGCCATTCCCTGAAAGGGGCTGCTCACAGCTTGAATGTAGATCACTTAAACTTTTGAATAAATCATGACAACAGTAGAAGCACCTGACCATTTTAACATAGAAGACTTCTAATTATATGGGAGTCAATTTCATTGCTTCAATCTTTTAAGATCCTAATAGTGTGGTAAATATATAATGTTATTTTATTTTATTTGAAAAATAATCCATTTCAGTTTTTTTTTTTTGAGAGGTTTTCACTATAGGGCGTGTGCGCTTGCCAGACAGACAGAGAGAGACATAGAGACAGAAAGCGAGAAATCACCCCCAGGGGGGATGGTCACACCGCAATCCCTTCTCCTCCATTCTCCTCTCGGGATCTTGGGCACACGCGCACACACGCTCGGCGTGAGTTTTAAGCCACTGGGTCCAGGACGCGAACCACTGTCGACTACATGGGAGTCCAGCCATTACATAGCCATTACGCTAACTGCTGGTTCCCTCCATTTCAGTTTTGGGCAGTTCTCTCAAATGCAATCTGCTTGGTACTGCCAAAGGCTAGAAGCTTTTATTTTGTATTTCTTGCACAGGTATGATTGTTTTTTTCTTCTGGTAAGGTTTAATTCCCACTGGTTGTACAGAGTCTCTGGAATCAGGAAGTCTTATGTTAGAATCCACTCCAAATATTCAGATTTCAATCACTTTGGTTTTGACGATAAGGGTTTCTTCTTAGACAAGAGGGCAATGGTGGTCGAAGTAAATGACCATCTGTCTGCCCTTATTTCCTAACCTCTCAAGGAAAGAGGTCTTCTTTCTTTTTCTTTTCTTCTCTCTTTTTTCTTTCTTTTTGTTAGAGGAATTAGTCTGTTGCTCTCAAGCACTTGGAAAACCTTCTCTAGTAAGTTAAATCATCAGAAACTAAGTTCTGGCAGGTATGCAGCAGATAGATATCCTTTTGGACCCATGACACTGATAATTGATCATCTGTCAGCATGAACTATGAAGGGAGGGTGCTTAGAGCAGGAGAGATCTTTCTCTGATCATGAGTTTGTAAATCCAAAGACTGGGATAATCCGAAAGACTCTGTTCCAATTTTGGTGGCTCCTAAAATAGAGCATATTGTAATGACACATAGATGTTTTATAGTCCCATTTATCTAGGTATAACAATATTAATTGAACTGTCAGATTTCTAGGACTAAGTTACTCAGTCTGAATACTTGGAATAACAGAGAAAGAGATTTCCAGGGCGTCAAGGCAGCTGGATTCAATGTGGAATGCAAAACTTACAGGGGTAATGCTGCCTGCTTGCCTTTATCTCATCAGAGATTCCTGGGAGCTGCTTGGTTCATTCGTGCTTGAATGATTATATTAAGAAGCCTGAGTCTTGCAGAGCTGTCTCGGGCAAGCATGTTGTGTGCACAGCTGGTTCTGTTACCTTAAAATACTAGTTAGCCTTAAATTAAGGCTTTGATGAAAGATGTCAGTGTTGATCTTGGGAAACTCTCTACACATTAATTCAAGCGTTTTGTTAGCCAAAGAGTTTAAGGCATAGGTTTTGAGATATACTAAGAGGAGAAAGGGAAACTAGATATTATTTCCATGTTACCTGCCTCTAGATGGAGAAAGGTATCAAGGCTTGTAATCTTCTGAAATTTGGGGTGGGAATAAAAACATAGATTACTATTGATTTTAAAATCTCTGGTTCATTTAATCTTGAAGCCAGCATTCAACATTTTTACATTGGCAAGGCAGTGGCAATTCTGTAAGAAACAAGAGTGAAATTAACTTTTAGTTTTGAAAGAAGTAACCTGGAATTCGAGCCACCCAGGATCCTCTAAAGAATAAGTGTATTGAGTCAGTCCAGTTTTTGCAACTATCATGAAACCAGCTAAAGATTTTATGTTTGAAAGCCTTGCCCAAGATTGGCATTTAAAAATATGCCATCGTATAGAATTCATGTGCCTTAAACATTTCTGGAAACTTGTCCAAGGCAGGTAAGTTCTAGCCACTGCCGGGTTTTTATGGAAATTTAAAGAAATGTCTAGCTGGCTTCTTCCAGCCAGAAAGCTGTTGGGAGAGTGAATATAGCACTTCCTTACTTTCTGTACATTGCCTTTACCAATCTTCCCCTAACTGGGCATTAGCAGTCCCACAGCACAGATTCTAGACCTACCCGTTCACAATCCAGTATCTTCCCAGTTTTCTGTCACTGGCATAGAACAACTGGAGCTAATCAGATGTTCAGGAAATACCGAAGAAAAGAAATAAAATTAAATGTAAAAGAGCCATTGCAAGACCCAGATTTTTCATGAAGCAACTCCAAGTCATGGTGATACATTCTTTAGGTGGCTTCTTAAGGGGAGTGCAGGCATAATGGCCATTGCTATGGTGTTGCTGCTTTCCTGGGGGCTCTCAAGTTCCCTGTGCTCTCTGGGGCTCTCCAAGTGCCAAGGTCACTTTGGAGAGCTTGGTCATGTCTTCCTCTCTGTTACTCTATTCTTCCAGGGTACTAAAAGAGTTCTACATTGTCTCTTAATTCCTTACTAAAAATACAGAGTAAACACAACCACGTGTTCTTGATTAACATCTCTCAACTTTCTTGTAATTTGGTTAAATACAAATGAGAGATGTTGTGGTGTGTTCTATCTGTCCATGCATTCAGGAACCTTCTAAGTTTCAGTCATTGGGTCAGATACATAGGATGCAATGGTGATAAAGTAGGAGAGTTTTTGCCCTTGAGAGTTTAGAGGTGTGGTATGGCATGGACTCTGTCCTTCTCTCTACTGCTCACTTTGCAGTCTTTCTTCTCTGATTATTAGTCACTGGCGGTGCATTCACTTTTAACTGATTTGTTGGAGAAGGTTTCTGCAACTGTAAGCTCATGTGATTCCTTTTATTGTGAGGTACTTCTGTGCCAATTTCCCTCCTTTCAGTGTCTTACAACATGGTGTCCACAAAAAAAGATTTGAGCTCAGATTTATGAAGAGGAGTTTTTCCCTTTGTGCAGCAGGTTCAGTGGGAGTTGAGTATTTCTCTGTCCCTATAAGTATTCAGATGTTTGTGCACCTAGACCTGTCTGGACGCTTAGTGTGTGGAGGCTGAGCAGCCAAGTGAGAAAGTAAGGTAAAAGAAAAAGAAAACAATGGGAAAAAAAATATAAAAAAACCCCCACAAAGTAAAAATAATACAAAAATTAAAAAACAATTGAACACTTCATGATTTTGGGTGTCATTCTTGCCCAGAGGCTATACTAGTCTTCTCCGTATCAATCCAATTTTAGTATATGTGCTGCTGAAGTGAGCACAGGAGAAAAACTTTCAGCTTTTACCTAGACAGTAAGACTTTAGCTGTGTGTTTGTGTATTTTAGAACTTCCTGTACTATGTTGAGCAAGAGTGGAGAAAGTGTGTATTCTTGTCTTGTTTCAGTTTTAGAAGGAAAAGCTTTCAACTTTTCCCCATGAAGTATGGTTTTACCTTTTTGTTTGTCATATATGACCTCTATTGTATTAAGAAATGTACATTATATACCTATTTTGTTGAAAGCCTTAATCATGAAGGGATGTTGTCTTTTATCAAATGCTTTTTTTTTTTTTTTTGGTAGAGAGATTTTTCCTACAGGACACATGCACTCACTAGAGAGACAGAGAGAGAGGAAGTAAGAAATCATCCCCCAGGGGTTGGCCATAGTGCAATTTATTTTCCTCTCAGGATTTTGAGCAGCTCATGTGCCCGGCATGAGCTTCAAAGTGCTAGGTCTGGGACTAGAACTGCACTTCGATCATGTGGGAGTCAGAGCCTTAACCACCATTATGCTACCTGCTGGCCCCTCAAATGCTTTTTAAAAAGTAGAATTAATTAATTATTATTTGTTAATTTGACCGGAGAGAGAGGGTGAGAAAGCAGGGTGCTAGGTCTGGGACTCAAACCATAGTTAGTAATGTGGGAGTCCAGCACCTTAACCACCATGCCACCTGCCAGACCCAAATGCTTTTTAAAAATCAATTGATACATAATTTTTATGTTTCCTTCTACTAATATGATGTATCACATTTATCGTTTTGCAAATATTGAATCATCCTTGGATCTGTGGGATCTATCCTTCATGGTCATGGTATACACTCTTTTTCATGTATTGTATTTAATTAACTAGTATTTTGTTCAAGTCTTTTTAAATCTATGTTCTTCATGAAAATTGGTCTTTAGTTTTCTTTTTTTTTGTCATGTCCTTGTCTGCTTTTTTTGGTAAGATGTGTGTGGCTTTATAAAATAAGGGTTGAGAATCTCTGTTTAGGTCTTTAGAAATAGTTTGAGAATTGGTGTTAATTCTTTTTTGAAGGATTTTTAGAATTCAGCAGTGAAGCCAATTGGACCTGGGCTTTTCTTCTCCGAGAGACTATTTATTACTGATTTAATCCATTACCTACTATTGGTCTATGTCCCAAAATACCAGGAGGGGAATACAGGAGAAGGGATTGCAGCATGGCTATCCCTTCTGGGGATAATTTCTTATTTTATTTCGCTGTCTATCTTTGGCCAGCACATGTGCTCTATGGCAACACTTAAAAAAAGAAAGAAAAAAATGTATATTTCTTCTTGATTCAATGAAGGTATATTGGATGTGCTCAGAAATTTATCCATCTCCTCCACATTTTCCAGCTTGTTGGCATATATTTGCTGGTAGTAATCCTTAACGATATTTGTATTTCTGTGATACCTCTTGTAATGTCACAGCTTTCATTTTTAATTTTATTTATCTGGGTGTTCTCTATTTTTCTTAGTCTAGGTACTTCTCAATTTTATTTATCCTCTTGGAAGAAATCTTTTTTTTTGACTCATTGATCTTTTGTATTGCCTTTTTATTCTCAATTTCATCTATTTCTGCTCTGATAATTAAGATTTCTATTACTTTTCAATCTCTTCCATAGAGTGTGGGTAGTTGGTATATATTAAGTGGATACATACAAAATCTTTCTTTCATAGCCTGGCTTGCTCACTCAGAAATAAATCTTCCATATTCAACTACTTTCTATCAAATGCCAGGGTCTTTTTTTATGGCTGAATAGTATTTCATAGAGTATATGTGCCACACTTTTTCAATCCATTCATCTGTTTGTGGATATTTGGGTTGGTTTCATGTCTTAGTGATTGGGTTGGTTTCATGTCTTAGTGATTGTGAATAATGCTGCAATAAACATTAATGTGCAAGCACTTTTCCAATTGATCATTCTTCTGTCCTTTGGGTAGATACCCAGAAGTGGGATTGCTGGATCAAATAGTAGTTCTATTTGAAGATCTTTGAGGAACCTCCATATTGTTTTCCACAGTAGCTGGACCAATTTACATCCCCACCAACAGGTTCATATTTTTGTTCCATTTTGACTTGATTTTTGCTAATGGTGAAAGATGGGGTTCAGATTAATCTTTCTGCAGGTGGATGCCCAGTTTTTCTAGCACCATTTGCTGAAGAGGTTTTCCTTTCCCCACTGGATGACTGTTATCCTTTGTCAAAAATCAGTTGACTGTAAGTTTGGGAGTTTATTCCTGGGATGTCTATTCCATTGTT